TATTTATAGTATGTCGCTAACAGTAATTCCTAGTTATATTAGGTCATATTCTGCATGGCTTCCAGCAATGTCCCAACTTCCGATGTGCCATCCTACTGGCCTCCGTTAACGTGTTCAAATCCTCCTACTTTGACTAGTTATTCTCGTCAGGGCTCTACCTCCAGTCCCTCTATGTCTCCGAGCAACTAGGGATCCTCCATCTCATTGGACGACATAGATGTGTCCATGGTGTACTACGGTGACATCGTGTTGCCTGAGTGAACCATTAGGAGAGTCAACTAGGAAGAAAGTGGAAAGGGGGAGAGGTGGCTAGGGAGAGAGAGAAGAGAGGGGGGGGGGAGGGATAGTGAAACTTAAATTTTAGTGGCAAGTGATGGAGAGAATGTCATATATGGAAGGGGTAGCAACCATATGAGGTAAGATTTTTTATTCCAAAGTTACTTCGAAAGCAATCCCGACTTTAAGTTTAAGAAAGAGGGGAAAATGAACGATGTCGATGTAGAGACAACCCTCAAAGAGTTGTCAACGTAACCTATTCTATATATCCTTCTTCAATAATAATCAGAAATCTATGAATTTTCTCCGAACTCTACTCTCAACTCACCTTCCTCCTAGCCAATAGAGAAACGAATTTGTAAAGTCAATAATTATCTGACTATAAATTTTTTGCTAATTATAGAGTAATGTATATTTTTTATCCAAACCTTTTTCAGATTCTTTTATATTATCCAAACTTATTAAAATTCTATTAATTAGCCAAATTTTTCATAATGCATCAAAATATTAGCCATTTTTACGTTATCGCTAATAATTTTGTAACTCTTTTCGTATTTAAAATACTAAAATTTTAAAAAATTGACCTTCATGTGTCTCTTCCAAGTTAGTATCCAGCGGCGGATCCAGGATATAAAAGTGCACTGGGCCGGATTCGAACATAAAATTAGATATCGTAAACAAAAAAAAAATTATAGTTTGCATTACAATGTCAATTGTACATGACGGTCTTTTAATTTAGCAAATTCGTCAATAATTGAGTCTTCATCCATACCAATAACATACTCTCTCTCAAAGAAAATAGTTAAGCAATCAGCAAGAAATTCATCGCCCATCTTGTTGCGCAAATCAGTCTTCACATGTTTCATTGCTGAAAAGGATCTCTCTGTAGTAGCCGTTGAAACAGGCAATGTTAACACTAGACGAATCAACCGACAAATCAATCTGTACCGTGCGTCCATCCCTGTTTCCACCAGCTTCTCTAGTAATTTTGCAAGGGAAGAAACATCATATTCCTGACAATGAACCACATGATCGGCATAATATCCTAGCTCATTCTTCAAACAATACATCTCATTGCCTTCAAAGTCTCGAGGATAAAACTCTTCAGCAAGTCTGTAAATATTTTCTTCATCAAAAGACCGGAAAGAACTTTTAGGGTCTAGTGCACCACTCAACTGAAGCAATCTGACTGAGGACTCATTGAATCTTGAATTCAATGTTCCCAACTGAAAATCTATGCATTGATTAAAGTATTCAAAATGGTAACGGTGCTCAAGAGTTGTTTGCTTCTCATCACGTCCAAGTGTAGCATTCATATTAGGCACCTCTATGGCATGTTTTGAGCAAAAAGATTTTACCTCTTGGAGTAGCTTGTCCCATCCTTCATCCCGTAGCTTTTGAAGTTTAACTTTTGCCATGGAAACAAATCCAACTGCAGCTACAATGTCAACAGATTCTTGTTGAAATGCTTGACAAAGAAAATCCGTGATATCCATAATCCCTTTCATCAAGTGAAGATTGAACACAAACTCAAAAGTCTTGATATTTTTTGAAGCACCTCTGGCTTGAGCTCGTTGTTCTCCTTCTTTAGAACGGCAAAGATCCTCTAGAACTACACATGTTGCATTGAACATGTTTATAATGCTCAATATGGAATGATAATGAGATCCCCAACGAGTTGGCCCTGAACGCTTTAAGGATGTCATTTGATTAGCTCCTTGTCTAGATTGAATTTCTCCAGCATCCAACATACCATCAAGATCTTTTTTGTGAATTGCTTGCAACTCCCTGATCCGTTTAGGAGAAGCCTTCACAACATTTATGATACAATCCAATATGGAAAAGAAATCCCATATAGGATCACATACCTTTGCAGAAGTAATCAATGCCAACTGTAATCTGTAAGCAAAACAGTGGACAAAATAGGCATATGGGCAATCTCTAAGAAATAAAGCCTTGACTCCATTAAATTGTCCTGACATATTACTAGCACCATCATATCCTTGACCTCTCAATTTTTCAATTTGAAGGTCATACTGAGAGAGAACGTCACAAATAGCTTGTTTTAGTGTTTCTGCAGAAGTATCAGCTACACTCTTGAGAGCAAAAAAGCGTTCAGATACTATACCAGAAGAACTGACATACCTCAAAATAATAGACATCTGTTCCCTTCCTGCTTCATCAACTGCTTCATCAACAAGAATAGAGAAACAAGAATCTCCAATCTCCTCGCGTATCTTACAACGCACTCTATTTGCTATGATTCCCAATATCTCCTTCTGAATGCTTGGTGAAGTGTATTTCGCATTTCCTGGTGCGTTACGAAGAACTACACTATTGATTTGATCATTCAACTTCGCTGCAAAACCAATCCAAGCTAGAACATTCCCCGGATTCAAAGAATCATCAGATTCATCATGCCCTCTAAAAGAACTTCCTTGTAAAGCCAACTGTTTGACAACCATAATTTTTGTTTTCAACCACAATCGATGCTTTAGAACTTCTTCTCCACCAATTCTGTGCATCACTTTATCAATATGACCGGAGGGTTTCATCAAGGCATCAGCCGCTGTAACACATTTATTATGGCTTGAAGAAGCTGACGAACCAACATGAACAAGGAACACACATTTCTTACCATTAACCCTCTTCCAATTATCAAATCCATCTTGCACTAGTGCAGAAGTTTGATTCCCATTCATCTTGTCTCTAAACAAAAAACATGGGAAACAATATGCTTTATGTGTTGTAGGAGAATACTCCAACCAATCAAATTGTGAATACTATGCTTCTTGAAAGTGACGAATTTTATCTTGGTATTCTCGCGGCTTATAGTATGCGAGTTTAGGTTGATAAGCCTTGTGTATTAGGTATTTTCTCCTAACCTCATCTCTCAACTCAAGAGCCCAATCACATATTTGTTTCCTCTTTCCTGGATCTCTTTCAATTTCAACTTCACTATCAGATGATGGAAGTAGATTACCGGATACAGGAGAAGTAGATGCTTCATTCTGAACTGGAGAGGAAGATGGTTGACCTTCATTAGGAGGGACTTCTTCGGTCTGACATGATTCAGATTCCTTACGTTGATAGTAAGAAAACAATGTTGTTTTCACCTTTTTTATTTGGTGGTTGAGAAGATGTCATGATGAAATATCTTGAAATCTGCTGTCTGCATAACCAATTATACATGTACACAACGCAGTCAAACACTAGATTCTAAGTAAATTTGGATACAAATTCTACCGAGTAAGATATATGAGAAATCCTAATATTAAATTCTATGTTAATGGCTTAATGAATAATTGCACTGTACAAACTTAGTTTTTAAGGAAATAAGACTAACTAAACTAAGACAATAAGATCAATTGGCAAATTGCAATTACCTGTTGGCTGTTGCTGTTGCTGTTGTCCCTCTCTGCCCCTCTCTACGCACTTTCTTTGCAGTAATATTAATAGACAGATCACAATTCAGAGATGAGATAACTGATAAGAGAATCACAATTCACAAACAGAGGAGAGACTCCACTCCATTATAGCCGCTGCGGTCTGCCTGGAAAGAACGAGGGGGTGGGGACAGGGGACTGGGGACTACCGGACTGGGGATGATACGGCCAAGATGACAGCCAAGGGGTCTCCGGCGCCGGCCGCCGGGTCAGGGTGACAGGGTCTCCGGGAGGTGGGGACTGCCGGAGGGGAGCAGAGATCAGCGGCAGCGGAGCAGTCTGTTCGTCTTCTTTTTTTTTTTTTTTTGTTCCAGTCTTCCAGACTTGCAGGGAAAGCTAATAGGAATAGGGGCGGGAGATTTTTATTTTGGTTTGGATTGTTTGGGCTGCAGGGCTGGCCGCCTGGGGCTGGGTCTTGAGACTGGGCTGGGCCCAAATAAATACCTTGTAAAATGCCGGCTGGGCTGGGTATTGGGGAGGCAGGGAGGGCTGGGCCCGGGCCCAGTCTGCCCCCCCCCCCCCCCTGTATCCGCCGCTGTTAGTATCATGTTGCCAAGTCAATAATTAACAAAATTGCTAACTGAAAGTTGACATTTGCCTAATTCTTAGTATAAAAGATTTGGATAATATAAAAGAATCTGAAAAAGGTTTGGATAATATAAAAGAATCTGAAAAAGGTTTGGATAAAAAATAGACATTACCCTTAATTATTAACGTAAGAAAATTTGTAAACTTGATGAACAATATAATTTTCCCATTTTTATCAATTATTTGAACAATATAAATATAGATAAATTCTCAATAATCCGAGCTCAACCTAGAATTTGTTCAAAAATCAAATCCATTTTCTTCACTTCTACTGAAATTATCATATTCAATGGGTTTAGTTCAAGATTGTTTATCGGCCAACGAAATTGGTAATGATGTTAGAATGATACTAGCGGCAGCGGGTGCCACTAATCACCATCCGATTGAGGAAGAAAAGTATAATTAATAAACATGTCGTTTCCTTTGCCTTTTACTTTCTCTATATTCTACAATTTAATTTTCTCTTCTGTCTCAAGAAAAGAAACATTAGCTGCCATTAATAATTTGAAATGCCCTTTGTTAAATTTTGAATCAGTACATAATAGCATGATTACGAGCAATAACAAGGGTGAAACTGTAGCCAGAATCATTTTCTTTTCATGGAGAACATGGATCACTTCAGGTCTTCCCAATATCATAAGTTATTCTTTTCATGTATAAAATTGGATCACTTTGGCGATCAACGCCAACGCCAAACAGAGGCGGCAGAAAGGAGAAGATCAGAGGGAAGTGAGTTTCGCGGTTTTTGGTAGAGGTTAATGGTTAGCATAGTTTGTATTGATACGGGAAAGTTACGTTTAAAATATGTACGAGTATTTTACTTTGTCTCTAAACTAATGTTACGTTTAATAGTACGTTAATAATCATAAATATATAAAATTAATTATTTTAATAAATAAATAAATAATAAATTTAACAATTTAATTGATGAAATACGGATATTAAACGTGTTATACGTGTTTAGTACGGGAGCCATCAAATGAACGGGGGAGAATGAAAGGGCTTGACAATAATACGGATACAGAAATTTTAAATGGATAAAATACGTACGAATACATATACGTGTATTAAGCGGAGTATTTACTAACTATGAATTGGTTAGAGAAGTGTTTGGATGGTGCATTGACAAGATCAGCAGAGACTTTGCTAGGGGAGACGAGGAGAACCAGTCAAAGCTGCATCTAGTGGCCTGGGATAGACTCACGACACCCAAAGTACAAGGAGGCATCAGGCTCAGACCAACGAGACAGGCGAATCTTGCCATGCTCGCAAAAACCGGGTGGCGGTAGATTCAAGAGAAGGAGACTTTGTGGGCTCGGCTCCTCACCTCGAAATACGGAGGGCGCCGGCAGGGACTCGAGCTACTGCGGAAAGTTCAGGGAAGTTCCTTTATCTGGAACAGCTTTTCTAAAGCTGCCGACATGCTCAGGCAAGGATGCACGTGGAATATTAAGAATGGGAAAAAAACTAAATTTTGGTTGGATTCATTGGTTTTGCAGGTTCCGTTGAAGGAGAAGGTGGGAGGTGTTATCCCGGAGGCTTTGGAGGAGGCTGTGGTGGCAGACTTGGTCCATGAAGATGGCAACTGGCGTACAGAGTTGTTCAGTGATCTCCTCCCACCTGAGATCAACAACAAGATCCTAAGCACGGCTGTTGATAAGCTCTCGCGGGAGGATGACACCATCTTCTGGTCTGCTTCAACGGATGGGTGTTTCTCGTGCAAGTCCGCTTATGGGCTTCTCATGGGCTAGTCTCAACAAGGCACGACGGGATCTGGAAAGCCATCTGGCATCTTCCGGTACCAGAGCAGGTGAGAGGTTTTGAGTGCCTCCTTGCAATGCAAATATATATATAAGTATAGGATGATGGATAGTGAATTTAGGACAAAATTTAGCAATTAGTTATTTTACATGTAAATGAAGGTTGAATCGAGTATCAAATGGTTGACCTTATAACTGTAAGTCGATCATTTTTTCATTTAGGTTAGAATCTGTCTTTTTTTTTAAACAACTTTAGGAATCTACTCAAGAAATCCTAAATAAATTTTATTTGAAGTGTAATACCCTGATATTTAGGTTCAGGTTCGACCATAATAAATGAACGGTTGGATTAGGTTCAATCATATAATAAATGAATGGTTGGATTGACGACCATGTACGAAAAACACAAATGCAATCCGAACCAGGTTAAGGACTAATGACAAATTAAATTGATTGTTTTTTTTTTGTCAAAAGATATCATGTATTGATCGAAACAATAGACAGTTACACCCTGGGAACCAGCCAGGTCTGGAAATCAAAGAAGCGACTCATAGTCGGATACAAAGAGAGGGCTTTCCTAGCTACCAAATGAGCTACCCTATTGTTCTCCCGACCTACAAAACGCACACTAAAGCCAGGCTGGGTACCAAAATAATGACCAATCTCTTCCAAAACAGCACCCAACCGGCTATCTCTTGTGTCGGCTTGATTAATTTTGTCAATAATCACCTTCGCATTGCCCTCAAATCGGACCTCCGACAAACCTTGCTCCACACACCACATAATAGCTTCCCTAAGCACAAGCAATTCCACCACTACAGGATCACCCATTTGAGAAAACTGGACCCCTCTAGCCAGAAGGAGTGTCCGCACTGGGTCAAAAAGAACCATCCCACCGGCCAAATGAGACCCACCCTTAGTAGCCCCGTCCCACATGCAAACCAAATGGGAATCACCCACTTGTGCTGTAGATTGCATTATCAGGATTTGTACCCTAGGCGCCTGGTCCGCTGGTAGACCCACCCATTTCTCATACTGTTAGTGAAACTGTCGCATGCGCGCCGGGATCCCAAATTGTTTGCCTTCAAAGACTACCTAATTCCGAGATCGCCAGATCCTCCAAAGGATGGCAACAACAGCCATAACCACTGACGGTTGATGGATCAAACCCAATAGATGTTTGAGAAACAAAGGAAAAGTATGTCGAGGCAAACCCTCCCCCAAGTATTCCAGCCCAGAATAATCTCAGAGAGCCTGCACAACCAGACAATAAAGGAACAAGTGCTCCATTGTCTCCGAGCCATCCCAACAAACTGGACACCGATGTAGCACCTGGACCTTTTTCTCAATAAGCGCCTCCATAGTTGGCAGATCCCGATTAAGAATTTTCCAAACAAAAACCTTCAACTTCGGAGGGATCTTCGCCTCCCAAACTCTAATCCAACTCGGGTTATCCATCCAGCTAACCGAGGATCGCCACCCACCCCTCCTCATGTCCAAATCGACAGCCAAATGATAAGCCGACTTAACCGAGAAGACCCCGTCGGCCGTAAAATGCCATATAAGCTTATCAGGCACATCCCAACGCGGGAGAGGAATAGCTTTAATAGCTTTACAGATGGGTGGGTCAAACCATTGACTGAGCTTCTCATCAGACCACCTCCCTCCCCCCTCACTAATAACCTCTGCCACCAAGGGATCTCCCCCATCAGGCAAGATCCGCGGATTATAGCATGGGGGATCTAGTTGGTACCTAGGAATCCAGTTAGAATGAAGGAGGGAGATCGATTGGCCATTACCAACCTGCCATCTCAAACCCCTCTCCAATAAGTGACGCCCATGAAGGATACTTTGCCACCCCTAAGAGGGACGAGATCTAGCAGTCGCGGTCAGGAAAGCCCCTTGAGGGAAATACTTGCCTTTAATGACCTGGGCAATAAGTGATTGAGGTTCATTGAGAATACGCCAGCCTTCTTAGCCAAAAGAGCATGGTTGAAATGCTCGAACTGGCGAAATCCCATCCCCCATCATGCTTACTCCTGCACATGTTACGCCAGGACACCCATCTAATCTTGGGATTACCGTCCTCAGCACCCCACCAAAAACGGGCCACATGCTTATCTAAAAGACGACAAAGAGCCAGGGGAAGACGGAAACAGGACATAACATGAAGGGGAGGAGCCAACGCTATGGATATAATCAATATTTCCTTAGCAGCCCTTGACAATGTCCTTTGCTTCCACCCCTGAAGCCGCTCTAGGAATTTTTCCTCCAAATATCTGAATGTAGCCGTTTTGGATCGAGCAACCAGCGTTGGAAGCCCCAGATATTTATCGTGGACCCCCACTGCACCAACCCCTAGAATCGTGGCCAAGAACTTATGATCTGGCGTGGAAATATTCTTGTTAAAGCACACCGCCAACTTCTCCAAATTAACGTGTTGAGCACTCAGTTCCTCATATTCATTCAGCACCTCAATTAAATTCTCGCACTCCTGCAGAGAACCTCGCAAAAATAAATAAGAATCATCCGCGAAGAACAGATGCGAGATTATTGGAGCACGAGGAGCTACTTTCACCGCGTCTAATTTTTTATTCGTGATCGCCTTTCGGAGGAGGGCTGCAAACCCCTCCGTGCAAAGTACAAACAAGAGATGAGAGAGTGGATCCCCCTGGCGAAGGCCCATAGAGGCAGTGAAATATCCTAAGGGTGTACCATTCATCAGACTCGAGAAAGAGGAGGATCGAAGACATTCATGTATCCATCCTTGCCAGACTGAATTAAAACCCATCTTATCCAAAACTGCAAGCAGGAAGGGCCATTCGACTCTATCATAGGCCTTTTCCATGTCAACCTTTAGAGCCATGTACCCTTTCTTCCCTTGCTTTTTTATTTTCAGATAATGCATTAGTTCATGTCCTATAAGGATGTTATCAATAATCTGCCGGTCTCTGATAAAGCCATTTTAGCCCTCTGAAGCAATCTGAGGGAGCATGCTAGCCAGCCGTTCAGCCATGATTTTAGTAATCACTTTGTAAACAAACTGGCAGAGACTAATCGGCCGCAATTGTCTAATTGTTTTCACCGAGTCCACTTTAGGGATCAAAGTGAGCCAGGTATGGTTAAAACTCCGCAGCATCCGACTCAAGGTAAAGAAGGAAATTACTGCTTCAACCACCAAAGTACCCACAATACCCAGAAAGCTTTAAAGAACTTCCCTGTGAAGCCATCCGATCCCGGGGCCTGTATCAAACCCATGGAAAAGACCGTACTCCGGACCTGACTAGGCAAAACCTCCGCCGTCAACTGTGCATTCATTTGCGGAGTAACACTATGGGCAATCGACAGAGTCGCCACCCTCTTAGCCATATTAGGAACCTGTGTTTCCGAGGTAAACAAGGTCTGGTAAAAATTGGTGGCAATAGAAGCCTTTCTGGTTTCCGCAGTGACCCATTCACCCTCCTCATTTCGAAGCCCAGAAACAAAACTTCTCTTCCGCCGAGCCCTTGCGACCGTATGCAAGTAGGCAGAATTTTGATCTCCTTTTTTTAACCATTTAACTCTGGCTTTTTGCTGCCAGAATACCTTCTCTGCTTCCCGCTGACGGGAGAGCTCCGTTTCCAGGGTTTTGATCTCATCCCAATCCACCGGATGGATTGATTTTATCCTATCAATCTCAGCTTGGAGCGTCTTGATATTGCGCAGGGAATTAGTTGTGCCCGCCCTGCTCCAATCATATAGCAGATGACAGAGTTTCTTTAGGCATTCCCACAGTCGAAACATAGGGGTGCCTTGGACCTCCTCCTGCCAGACATAGTTGACCATGGCCCTTACCTCCGGATTATCCGCCCAACGGGCATCAAAACGGAAAAGAAACTGACTAGTACGAACATATGGTTTATCAGCAAGGAGAAGGGCACGATGATCTGATCCCTGGTCCGTGAAGTGTTTGACTAGAGTCTCTGGGTATGTATCCATCCAGGACTGAGACCAAATCGCTCTATCCAGACTTGCACGAATGCAAGCATCGCCCATGCGCTTATTAGTCCAAGTAAACTGATCTCCTTGGTAACCAGGGTCGTGGAGACCCAACATGAACAAATTCACGGAGACTAAAGGCTTGGGCAGCATTCCACGCCCGTCCCCCATCTTTTTCACTCTCATGTAGAGTAGCATTGAAATCGCCTATGATCACATAAGGGTGGTTGATATTCGCACAAACGTTTCGCAGCTGAGCCAATTGGGAAGCTCGTAAAGCAATATTACAACTGATATAAATAAAGATCACAACATAAGACAAATCTCCTTCATTAATTTGCGAGAAAATATAGAAATTAGAATGACAAAACACCGAAGTGTCAACCCTGGGGGACCAAGCAACTACTAAACCACTCGATGCATCGACTGCATCTATAAAAAAACAATGAGAAAGTGCAAATCCTAGACCCTGCATACGGTGGGACACTACACGCCGGCTCGATCGGGTTTCCGAGAAAAACATGAGATCCGGTTTATTGGAATGAACAAGCCCTACAGCAGTTTGGAAAGTGAGGGACGGCCCAATTCCTCTCACATTCCAGGCGAGATGCCTCATTTATCCACTGGGGGCCATTCAAGGCTGGCTTCCTCCACCTTATCCAGATCATCAGCTGATTGCACAAACTGTTTCTTTGGAGTAGGAAGGTCACCTACATCCCCATCAAGCTCATCGATTACTCGTTTCCGATTCTCTAGCATAGGGTCCATCATATTAGACCCGTACTCATTCAGCCTTGAACTCAATCCCTTGCACGAGCCATCCTCATCCCTTGCAATGACTATCCCAACTTCAAATGCCTCCACTACTTGGTGAACACGCCCTTTCATGGTGTGGCGAGTTTTCATGGTGGCCTCTGCTGGCGACCGTCTCTTGATCTCAAAGGAATTATGGTCTTCAACCTCCTGATCATCATCTGAATCAATGGCATGTTGTTGATCTTCGTCAACAGGCTCATCCAGAGTAGCAGCAATCTCCTCCTCCTCCAAGTCAAGCAGAGCCCCCGAAGGAGTAGAGCCCCCAGCCTGGTGGGACGTAGTTCTAGGGCAGTCTGCTCCTCCTTTTCGAAGATGCGGGCGAGCCCTGGGTTTCGTGCTAGGGTCCTCCCGCGGACCTTTAGGAATACACAACTTCATATCAGGATTTGACCCAACGCAGTTGGTCTCCTCCTCCTCCTCCTCAGATTCCTCCTGGAAGATCAGTCTGCGCCTCCTTGATTGCTCGAACACTTCCGCCAATTGTCCCGTACCCTGTTGGCATT